AGAAAACTTCTGCTTCTGATCATCTGGGTCAGGGATCCTCAAACATTTTAAACAGGGGGCCAGTTCACAGACTTTCACACTGTTGGGGGGCCGGACTATAGTTTGAAAAAAATATGAACAAATCCCTATGCACACCACACATTCTTATTTGTAGTGCAAAAAAAAAAAACAGGAAAAAACAATACAATATTTAAAATGCACTGCACACTGATACACTGTACACCACAATGCACTGTACACTGACACACTTGACAGCACCTCCTTTCCTGTTTTTTTTTTTCCAATTTGTTTTTTTTTTTCTGCAGCTGGCCCTGTGGGCCAGATAAATGTCTTCGTAGGTCCGTATCCAGCCCGTGGGCCAGAGTTTGAGGACCCCTGATCTAGGTGGTCAGAGCAGGTACCTGCTCCCTAAAGGTGCCAGTTCTTAACGGGGAGCGGGGGAGGAGTCCTTACAGTGGAACTTCCCCTCTTGGGTGGAGCTCCACTTTAAACACAATTGTAGGGTTTCTTATCTACTTATCTAGAATTAGTAGCTCACAGATAGATTGCACTTTTTGCTTGATTAGGTCTATAGTTATTGTGCAATATTTATAAGTCAGCAAATTGTAGGCCCTAGTTCTTGGCTTGTATGTGGTGCTTTATATAGACATGTCTGATTTAGGCCAAGTTAACATGTTTGTGGTGTGCTATCATGCTTTGTGCTAAGGAAGCCTATACATCTAAAATGGGATGCCAATGCACCTGACCCTTTTGTGGGAACAACACTGCTTATAAAAGTCGATTTTAAAATCATGCTACTTACAGTGAAGACGCACGATTTCAAAGTCCGGTGACTTGCCGATTTGAGGTGCAATTTGCAAGATATCTGACACAGATGTCTATACAAATTGCACCAAAAGTAGAGCATGCACTAGAAATCGGTGCGGCACCAACCAAGTAGAATCCACAACGATATGACCGCTCTAATAGCAGACAATAGGGTGCGACTTGGCATACGATTTGCAAGTCACATGGCATGCAAATCGCATGCCAAGTCGCACCTGATGTGACTGGGTGTGTCAGACCCCCAGCCCTTCTCACCAACTCGTGACCAAAGGACTAGCCAATCTAAAACTGAGCTGTCACGTGCGTAACAATGCCACGCTCAGCTTCACCCTGTACAAAGATTTTCCATATAATGGACCACAATCTATGTACCTGCAGCCTGAGAGCGATTGTTACTGGGTCAGGTTAATTACGCAATTAACCCTTCACACTGCCACCAACGCCTTTTTGTAGAGAAAAGGAGGAAACTCGCCAATATTACACTATGATGTTTGAATAATCGTCTGTATACCACTGTCACTTCGGGCAGAGATATATATATATATATTTATATATATATATATAGGTTTAAACCACACAGTAGCGCTTTTCAGAGACAGAGATTCTTAGTTTGCATTAAAGAGCTTTAGAAACAGTTCAACACTTTTCAGAGAATAAGATTTATTACTAAAAAGGTCAAAAGGGTGCAATAACAATATTTACAGAAAAAGATGTAGCCAATAAATATATATATATATATATATATATATATATATATATATATATATATATATACACACACACACAGAGCAATAACACAGCAAAGAGATAACGGAAGTTTTAGAGAGGTAGAATACTTGCCAAAAGTTCTGGGTTAAGCAGATCAAGTTTCAGAGCAAAGGGTACCGTCTCCCAAGTTGGTTCCTGATGTTAAAAGGGGAGAATTCTTCAACTTACTGCTCCAAGCATAACAGCCTTTTTCCAGGAACTCAGCAGGGTGTCTCCGTACAGCAGAGAACCAATCACTTCATTTAGGGAGGGGTGTTGTAGGCGGGGGACTCAGACTAGAACCAAAATCCCTCCCAAGTTATACCATGGGCAATAACCTTCCCTAGGTACATGTAACATTCTATCCACGGATAGATTAATATGCAGAATCATCTGCTGAACGTCTAGATATCAAACATGGCATAGTTCACTATTTCAGCTAGAACTATATGGCTTCTGCTCTCCTGTAGACTTCAACTAGGGGGTGTAAGATATCAGACGACTCGCATTAAACTAAGCTATCCAAATATATGCTGGGTTTTTATGTAATTATTTCCCATCTCCAGATATAAAATTATATGGAAAAGTGGGTTTAAAATGTGTTTTCTGTTTTACAACTAGCTGGAATGTCTTTGAAGCCCAGTGAAGGACTGGTTTATGGTTTTACGATTCTCTCAGATTGAGAAGCTAACAGACACCCAGGCACCAGCTAATTTGGGATTTATAACCATGAAGTTGTCCCGCTGGGCCTGATTGCCTGTGCACTTTTGAACCCAGCACACAGGGACCATGTGTCACTCAACAGAAAGGGAGGGGGGAATTGCGGGGGGAGAGATACAAGACGGAGGATCCTAAGCAAGATGGATGACTGCGTCCATCTCTGTGTGCACAATTGCTACACCGGGGTGTTAGGCTCCATGTACACGGGACATTTGGAAAACACTTATGAACGATGGAAACTGCTGGAAAACGTAGGTTAAAAATTTTTTGTTTGGCTGCGTTTGCATAACGCATTTATGAGCGTTTGCGTTTAGAAGCATTTTTTAAAGATAACCTCAGGAGACCTTCCAAAATGCCCAGAATGCACTGCAAAACAGTAAATAATTAACTATTTCAGACTTTTTAAGAGAAATAGAGACGGCAGAAGTAGAGAGAGCAGTATGTGTTGAGATGACCTGTTTTTTCTGGTTGTATTCACTATGGATCCCATCATGAGCATAATGCGGCACGTTTTTACCATATTTTCCTTCACGCAAAACCTGAAACTGACTGCGCTGGTGTACCGGGTCCATTTGAATACATGGAATACACTTTGCATGCATTTCTGATGATGAAAAAACGCTGAAATTCTCCTGAACGTCTGTTTATCAGCTGCAGTGTACATGAGCCCTTAGTGTGCTGGACCATAATAACATGCTACTAGAACACAATATCCTAAACCAAACCTTAAAGGCGTAATCCACCTCTTGCAAAAAAATAAATTAATAATAAATGCGTCTATATTCATTTAAAAAATAATTGTAAAAGAAACTCAAAGCATTGCAACCAAGATCAGGGTATGTTTTCCTTATTGAGGTGAAAACCTTCAGTTCTAGCGGGAGGAGAGGAGGTAACAGACCTTTCTGTGCATTATTGTTGCACCGAATAGGTAAGTATATCTTTGTTTATTTTATTAAAAAAAAAATATAGAACCTTTTGTATCAGTTACATTTTTATCTTTCCTTCTGAGTTATACTATTTTGTGGTAAAGGATCTTTACTTCCATTACGGCCAAATAGAGTCCAGATTTTCTTTTGGCGTGTAGAAGCTGTAAACCAAGAAATTGATTGGTTGCTATGGCTGGCACATTAATTTTTTTTCCTCTCCACTATGAGTTCTCAAGCTATAAGAAATACAAGGTGCCTTTCTTCTTTCACTGCCTATAGTCCTTGGGATTGGCAGTGGAATGCAACTCTAGCGTTCCTGTCTGAATTGATGTGTAATCCTGAAGTGATCCTTTTCACTGGTTGATTTTGATCTTGACAACTAAAATACATCAGAAAGGAGCAGCATGAGTAAAAGGAAAAGTACTGTGACTGACTATTCCTGGCAGCCAAGGCTATTGATCCACTGCAGTCTGTTAGCGTTGATTGGTTATGTGTCAACGTCAGCAGCAATCTCTATTGTTTCAGCAGGTTGTGGTCTTTGTATTTGATCCTGTCATTGCCTGCGTCAGTGATGCATATCATAGCCGATGTGATGTCAAAGTGTGGGTGTTCAGTTAGGGAGAGCCAGTTCACCTAATGTGCTGCTGTAAAAAGCCAGTACTGTTGCCTCTAAGGGAATAACAGTGAATGATTCATCGCTGTGCACATTAGCCTGATGCTAAGTTTAGAACCATTCAGGACCCACACATCCGCATGGATTAGTATCTCTGTTTGCTAAATTGAGGGTACCAAAACTGCTTAGCTAAATATAAGAGGACAGAGGGACACAAATATATAGTAAAAGCATTGCTGGGTATAGTAAACATTTTCTTTCTAAATGTATAAATTTAAAGGTATGCATGAGTGAGAATTGAATAATAAACCATAAAATGCATAAAGGAGCACAACCTTCTGTTGTCAGTACTATAGTTTTCCCAGCATAGCTATAGTAGCAACCCACCCCATTGTTTATAATACAGTATAGTAATTTCTAAACGCACCCACTGTCTCTACAATATAGTAAATCAGTCTGAATTCTCTTGCAGAACAAACATTTCCCAGTTTGTGACTGATTAAACAGTGCAAAAAATATTTCTCACTTCCTGTGAGCTGACAACAAAGCTCAAACATTCTCATTTCTCTTGTGTAAACTATTAATTCCATCAATCCACCATGTACTGGAGAGGAACAAAGGAAGACATGTTTGGCATCTAGCCTGTGTGACACCCATGGCCCCCTGCATAGATACAGTGGAGAGAAAAGCATAGACACAAAGAGACAGGAAGTGTTCTTTTCAGGATTACCAGCTGAAAATAATGGAAACATGGCCTGAAAAAGAAAACTAATACTGCATCTAAGGACAGGTAAGCTGCAGTATATAACATTTTCTGTTTTTGTGTTTAGAGATGCTTTGGTATTACAGATATTTTTATAGTGCTGACAATTTACACAGTGCTTTACATAATGCACATTCACATCAATCCTTGCCCTTGAGTTTACAATCTAGGGTCATGATCCAGCATACATACACACATACAAGAGCCAATTAATATACCAACATGTGTTTGGGGTGTGGAAGGAAGCTTAAGTGCCAAGAGGGAAACCCTTGCAAACACTTAGAGAACATGGGAACTCCAGTTTTTGCCCAACCTCCTTCTAGCACTAAGCCCTATACCAGTGTTTCTCAACCTTTTTTCAGTCAAGGCACCCTTTAAAATTATGGACATTCCCAAGGCACCTTTTAAAATTATGGACAGTCTCAAGGCATCCTTTAAAATTATGAACTGTCCATAATTTAAACGGTGCCTCAAGACTGTCCATAATTTTAAAGGGTGCCTCAAGACTGTCCATAATTTAAAGGGTGCCTCAAGACGGTCTTGAGGCACCCTTTAAATTATGGACAGTCTTGAGGCACCCTTTAAATTATGGACAGTCTTGAGGCACCCTTTAAATTATGGACAGTCTCGAGGCACCCTTTAAAATTATGGACATTCCCGAGGCACCCTATAAAATTATGGACATTCCCGAGGCACCCTATAAAACTATGGACATTCCCGAGGCACCCTTTAAATTATGGACATTCCCGAGGCACCCTTTAAATTATGGACATTCCCGAGGCACCCTGTAAATTATGGACATTCCCGAGGCACCCTTTAAATTATGGAAATCCCCGAGGCACCCTTTAAATTATGGACAGTCTCGAGGCACCCTTTAAAATGATGGACCGTCCCGAGGCACCCTTTAAAATGATGGACAGTCCCGAGGCACCCTTTAAAATGATGGACAGTCCCGAGGCACCCTTTAAAATGATGGACAGTCCCGAGGCACCCTTTAAAATGATGGACAGTCCCGAGGCACCCTTTAAAATGATGGACAGTCCCGAGGCACCCTTTAAAATGATGGACAGTCCCGAGGCACCCTTTAAAATGATGGACAGTCCCGAGGCACCCTTTAAAATTATGGACATTCCTGAGGCACCCTTTAAAATTATGGACAGTCGTGAGGCACCCCATTATAAAATGTGAAAACCTATTTTAATAGCTTTATATAACACACCAACATCCACACATGTAGGACACCCAACATTAGAGGTGATTTATTCTTTCAATGCAAATACACTATTGCACACCGGTACTGACTAGTGTTCCAGTGTTTCTCTTCTCCATCAGTTGTTCTCCATCACTGAGCTAATGTGACTCCAGCACTGATGGTGAGGGGCAGGGGAGGGTCAAACTAGGATGCTGTGCCGACAGCTGACATCCTCCTTATCAACTGATGATGTAATTGGTTGTCAGGACACTGGCGGCCAGAAAGTCGTAATGGTGCACAATGAAAACCTGTGGTATTGTGTAATTAAAACGTAGCTACTGGCTTTTATACAAGTTTTGGGCAGTTTTTAGACATTTTGCCAAGGCACCCCTGAAGAAACCTCAAGGCACCCTAGTGGAGAAAGGCTGCCCTATACTACACTGTCATTTGCAGGCATATGAGCTGCATAAGGGGCTTAGAGAGGTGGCAGTGGAGACTCCTTGCGGCAATTGGAGGAGGCGGACGGGCTTTACTGGCAACAGCAGCTTGATCAGAACAGTCCAGTATAAAATGCAGATAAATACACCGTGACAGCTGTGCAGGGGGGCATATTAGCAGGAGGCAGATAAACCGCAGTACATTGATCTTCCCAGTGAAGAGCTGTGCAGAGAGGCGTGTCAACAACAGGTCTGATCACCGGAGTACGGGCAGGCTGTTCTCCCAAGTAGAATGCACTGGGATGGATGTTCTTTCTTGCCTAGTGCGTGATTAGCCTGAAATAGGAAAGCTGCGGGACAAGAGCGATGACAAGGAAATTCACACAAAGGAAGTAATACAAAGAGAACAGGGGACTTTTTAATACATGTAAATGGTAACACTGACATATATCAGGAAAATTAAATGTTGGGGTAACATACACCCCCAAAAAAGTAATATTAATTTAAAATGAGGTGTTAATGTCACTAAGTGCAGCCAGTTTGGTTGTAGATCAGACCTTGTGATCAATTGCTAAAACTGAAATTATAGTATAGAATGATTGTATCCTTACAGGGTATCTGCTGCATTGTACTTCAGGTGATCTCACAGCTTTAATTCCCTGGTGGACAGCTTGTTACCTGGTGTGCAGCCCATTTGTTGGGCAACCAGCAGAAAAGCAAAGCTTCTGACGTGTCAGACTAATGTTAGTGCCAGCCATACAGGAGCAATGGTACCGAGATTTCCAGTACTGATTTCCAGGGTCCCTCTGTCAGCGGGGCACAGACTGGCAAAACTCAACCCGCTTTGGCCAGTCAGGAATGGGGGACTGCAACTGCTCCACAGTATCCCTGCCTTGTTTCCCATCATCAGTAAGAGTAAGCTATAGGATGTATGGGATCAGTGCAGATTGCTTCATATGGACTAATGGAGTATTTAAATATGAAGTGGGTGCACTGTTTGTTGGTTGTTGGGGGCACATTGGGATTTGAAATTGATAGGAAGGGATAGCAGAGGGATCTCTGACTGGGGCAGCACTGTGACTCTTTGATTAATGTTGGCAGGAGACAGAAGTTCTAGAAGGGAGCTGTAACACAGGCTGATAATGGCTAGGAGGGGGTGCTGTGACATTTGTAAATGGGGAGAGGCACTGTGACGGACGGTGGAGGCATTGTGACTGACAAGGGGCAGTGCTATGACTGATCTTCAGTGTTATTAAAACCTTCTTGGGTAAAAATAAATATTGTGCTGCTGATCTCAGCATTTACCATGTCTTTTGTGTACTTTTCAAACTCATCATTTCTCAAATTTTCTCTGGTCCAGTTCACACCACATGCAGTTCAGTGCGTTTTTTTTTCTGTGGCAAAAAATGCGTTGATAGTAGATTACATGGTTTCCAATGCACACACCACAATGCAGTCAGTTCCAGTTCCAGAAAAAAGGAACATGCTGCATTTTTTTCTGCACTGAGCTGCATCGGAAGGCAGTAAAATGCATTACAAAAAGGAACCAGAATGCACCTAAACGCACTGGAACGCATATGCCCTTATTTGGGACCAGTTCACACCGCTTTCAGTCCAGTGCATTTTTTTTTCTGCATCAAAAATGCATTGATAGTAGGTTATATGGTTTCCAGTAGTATAGTTCACACCTGTGCAGACAGTTCCAGTGCGTTCCAGTACAGTTCAGTGCAGTATGTTCTACTTTTTTTTTTCTTTAACTGAAGTGCAGTAAAATGCACCAAAAACACACTGGAACGCACGTCCGTATTTAAGTTGAAGAAAAAGAGAGGGGGAAAAATGAACAGGAGCGTATCAAAAATGCGTAAAAAATGTACCGGAACGCATCAAAAACCAGCATACAGAAATGCATCCAGAGACCGTCTGGACTGCGTTTCTGTAGTGTGAACCAGCCCTCCTACAAGGTTTCCTGTTTTCAGGTGGTTAATGCTGCTTGTGTGGTTCCATGGAGCCCTACCATAGCTGATCTATCTGTGCATGCTTCTGCCCTGGATCTGCAGCCAAACGCCCCAGTGCTGCATATGCTGACACCCACGTAGCCCTGAAGCTTAAGACTGCAAGCAACGCCCCTTCTCCTCCAAGGGAATGGAATAATGGCGGCTCTCTAGGAAGAGCATGAGAGTCTGGGATGATGAAATGTAATACTGACAAAGACAATCATGTGACTTCATATGAAGTACTCAGTGAGTGCTCCCCAACCAAAAGTTTGGGAAGTAAGACTTGGCAAACTGGAGGCAGATCTATAGAAGAAAATACAACCAGATTGTAGTGTGAGGTGGGTTTTTACACTTTCTGACCTTTTACCCACAAGTATGTAATGCAATGGTCTCCTTGATTAAACACAAATTGATTGGATAGTTCCAGTAGGTAAGATCCCATATTACATAGTTATGGTAAATCTAAAGGTGATTGTACTGATATTGTATGGTCAGATTGTAACATGTATGATGAGTCTATTATACGAATATACTGCAGTTAAAAAGAGGCGCATTTGTTACTACTGTAACAAATTAAAACCAGGAAAAGTACCATCCCCCATTCACACTTGATTTTATCAACTCCATTGGATGTTCTGTATGGCGTTTGCTTTTACTTTAACATCAAACACTTGTGTAAGCAAGTACAAAGTGATTCAGACCCCCTTCACATTTCAGCGTTTTCGAAGCCCAACGCTCAACAAGTAAAATCTCATTATTTCCAATGGCCCCTGTTCACACTTGAGCGTTCTGTCGCCTGTAGCAAGACGCTTGTTGCTCAGAAACGTGCGCTATTTTCAGGCAGAACTGAGAGTTTTGTCCCCATAGATTTGAATAGAAAAAGCCTGAAGAGTAGGAATGAGTGTTTTTTGTTTTTTTCCCCAAGTGTTCTTTCAGGTGTTTTCAGCTCAAACAGCAGCTATTTCTATTTGCAGCAGCAAAAGTGGCTAAATGAAAAACGCTTATAATATTTGCAAATCTGCTCAAAATCTGCTCAAAGACGCCTGAAAAATGCTCAGCTCATTTAATTTAGACTTTTAATGATCTCATACTTGTTCAAATGTCAGCATCTTGTTAATTCGCTCTGCGCAAACATGACTTCTAAACACTTTACATCAATGTTTTATACAAGCTGATGAAATCTTTACTGGGTGCGCTCCATTGTTATTTACTAGTAGCAGATTTACGAAAACTAAGCTTTTATTTTGCTCTTTACCGCACTTGAGGCCCCTTCTAATACCTAAAGCAAGAAATCTTGATCTGTGTTTGACTGCTACCACTCAACAGAAGTCGATATAGGTGATTGACTTCTGTCAAACAGGCTTGTTGGAAAATGTATTTTGACCAGCGGCTGTAGGGAAGATTCCTCTATCCATCTCGATTGTGTGGATAGAGGAATCCATTTCTTTTTTGAGGGGTTTCGGCCCGCTGGCTGAACAAAAAAGAACAACAAACATTCATCTATTGTCAGCATAAGTACGTACAGTGTATATAAAAGTCTACACACCTGTGTTAAAATGTCACGTTTCTGTGATCTAAAAGAATGAGACAAAGATAAATCATTTCAGAACTTTTTCCACCTTTAATGTGACCTACTCAGTTGAAAAACAAACTGCAATCTTTTAGGTGGAGGGAGGTAAAAATGAAAAACTAAAATAATATAGTTGCAAAACCTTTAAACGAATACTTTGTTGAAGCCCCTTTTGATGTGATTCCAGCACGCAGTCTTTTTGGGTTGTATAAGTGTGCACACCATTAAACTAATACTTTGTTGAAGCACCTTTTGATTTTATTACAGCACTCAGTATGAGTCTATCAGCATGGCACATCTTGACGTGGCAATATTTGCCCTCTCTTCCTTGCAAAAAACACTCCAAATCTGTCAGGTTGCAAGGGCATCTCCTGTGCACAGCCCTCTTCAGATCACCCCACAGATTTTCGATCAGATTCAGGTCTGTGCTCTGGCTGGGTCATTCCAGAACTTTAATCTTCTTCTGGTGAAGCTATACCTTTGTTGATTTGGATGTATGCTTTGGGTTGTCATGCTGAAAGATGAAGTTCCTCTTCATGTTCTGCTTTCTAGCAGAAGCCTGAAAGTTTTGTGCCAATATTGACTGGTATTTGGAACTGTTCATAATTCCCTCTACCTCGACTAAGACCCCAGTTCCAGCTGAAGAAAAACAGACCCAAAGCATGATGCTTCCACCACCATGCTTCACTGTGGGTATGGTGTTATTTTGGTAATGTGCAGCGTTGTTTTTTGTACCAAACATATCTTTTGGAAATATGGCCAAAAAGTTCAACTTTGGTTTCATCAGACCATAACACATTTTCCCACATGCTTTTGGGAGACTTCAGATGTGTTTTTGCAAAATTTAGCCGGGCTTGGATGGTTTTCTTTGCAAGAAAAGGCTTCCGTCTTGCCACTCTACCCCATAGCCCAGACATGAAGAATACGGGAGATTGTTGTCACATGTACCACACAGCCAGTACTTGCCAGATATTCCTGCAGTTCCTTTAAT